ATGTTGGTTAGGTTGGTCTCAAACTCCTGGCCTCAGGTGGTCTGCCTGCCTTGGCCTCCCAAAGTGCTGGGATTACAGGCATGAGCCACCGTGCAGGACCTCTTACCAAATTTTTTACTTAAAAGTTGCAAACCAGAGGTCATAAGAAGTGCCACTTCTACGATCTATAGAGAACTTAGTCCCTCATTGTAATTTAATATATTATTGAGCAACTATCTACCATCCTTGCATTAATAATCATTTAGATATTAATAGCCCTGCAAAGAACGATGACTACTGTTGTATGAATCATTGCTATTGGAGTCTGGTAGAACAGTTTAGGTATCTAGTGAACCAAGAGAATTTAAATTTGGGGACTGTAGAATAAGTGAGGACCAGAACTATTTTTGTACATTCAAGGAATTCTTTTCAAAACCTTGTAATCAAACCTGACTCTCCAAGAAGAATAAAATCATTCTAGCAAGGGCAGTAACAGCCAGAAAGCCAAAGTGTAATTCCAATTAAATGAACAGAATCTGTGTGACTGGGTTGGGAAAGGCCAGGCTTAAAAAATATTTATTTTATGCTTGCTTATACAGGTGAATGCTATTTTTGTACTTGAGCTAACTCACAATGTTCATGGGCATCTAAAGTCTTATAAACCTTTTCCAAAGACAATAAGGAGAATAAGGAGTTATACTTTGGCTCCTAAATACTTACCCAGAGTTTTTCATTATTCAAAGACAAAGACGTGTGCTTTAGGGGTACAGTCTACATCAAACGCACTGTATATTTTGCACACAAACTAACATGTATATATGTACTCATCTAGATACCACAATACATATATACATATACATACGTATACATAGAGAGAGATTGGGAAGGTGTAGCAACCATACATGAAGGCATAATTTGTGTGTGTATGTTTGTGAATAGATTAGACTCTGGAAACAGAGTTAAGCTGCAATTAAGAGATAAATGTGACCACTGCTACCATATACTGCATATGTGTACATACGATGTATTCTTAGCTAGAGAGATTTCTTTCCTTGGGACATTTAATTACTTTATCTTGGAATTTAAAATGTCTTTAAGGATTATTTTTTATTTATTTTTTTTTAGGTGGAGGAGGCAAGCCTACTAGTTACTTTGATTTGAATGGTACCACCAAACAGCATGGCCACACAGCCAAGATCCAAGCTTAGGATTTAGTCTTTTTTTTCTTTTTCTTCTTTTTTTTTTTTAGTTTACTGAGCACCCAGAGAACATGGTAGTGAGTATTGATCGGTAGAAAACAATTGTCGTACTTTTTCTTCTGGGGAAGAAAAACCCCACGTTTAGTGTGCCAGAGGTAATGCTACATCTTCTACTGTACTCCAGCCAGTCTTGACCCTGGTTGTACGCTGGAATCACCTGGGCAGCTTTTAAAAATTACCCATGCTCAGCACCTCCCTGGAAGATTCCAATAAATTGAGCTGGGGCAAGACCTGGGGATCTGAATTTTCAAGAGCTGTCCACGTGATTTCAATCTGTAAGTGAAAGTTGAGAACAGGTGGTAGTGCCTTTCTGGTCCACTGCACCTTGAAATGAATCTGCTCTCAACACATTCTGTTTATTCTGTTCATTTGGTACTTTCCACACAGGTTTTGTCACTTTGATAATTAGATATTCTTATATTTTGTTTCCTTAGCAATTTGTTCCTAGCAACACAAGAGCCAGCCTTTGTGGGGTGCTCACTTTGTGCCGGGCATAACACCAGTTGCTTTACTGAACGTGGCCTTCCACTCTAACAATGACCATCTATTGTTGTCTACACTTTACAGGATGAGAGAAGTTATCCTGGAAGAGAAGAGGCAAAGCTAGGATTCAAAGTCAAACTTCTCTGGCACAGAGCCTAAGCTCCTGGACACCCTGTGTTCTGTTGTTTGAAGGACAGGCTGTCCTATGCCTAGTTGTCTTTCAAAAAGCACCAAGGTAGTTGCCTCGCTGCTCAGCAGATAGAAGATGCTCAATAGGTAGCTTTTGATTGATGGAGAAGATTTTGTGATTGGGTAAAATTATTAATTTTGGAAAGAATTCTGTACATTTATCTAAAAGAAAATTTGGTCTCAGGCACTCCAAAGTATGCTGAAGTTTTCATTACTAAGTTTTAAAGTTGGTAATGGGAATTGAGTTGATGTCTACCCTATTTATTTGCTTGGAATGGCTTTTGAATATATAAGATTAAAACATTTTGTGATGATGGTTATTAGGGCAGTTTAGGATAAGGATTAACACAGTGAAAAAGGGCTTTTTGGAAAAGTGAAACGTGCCTTGTTTAGCATATAAGCCCTTTTTTGGTGTTTCTTTTGAGTAATTTAGAAAAATATACACCCTTTCTTAGCCTTTAGCAGCCTCCAAAAAATAACATGATTATAGATCAAGTATATCTGTCATTTTTCTTCTCCTCTGATTCACTTAAAAGCACAATTGTGACTGAGAAAACTGTCCTCTTTGTATTTATGTCTTCAAGAATGTGTGGGTTTTGTCCAGCATCATGGGAAGAGCCTCAACCACTCAGATCAGAGGAGGGCAGGCCGGAGCCCCTCCATGCCTCTGGAGATGACTTTGAAGACACCTGAGAAGAACACACTTACCATCACCGGAACCCTAGATGCCTGCAGTCTGAAAAGAACATCCTATAGGATAGCATAGGAAAAATATTCTAACCCACTTAATTGTTTACATGTTTGGAGGTTATCGATTTGCTTTTCCTTATCATTCATGGCTGTGCGTTGCGGATAGATACTGTATGAATTAGTTCTACCTGCCTCAAGAGGTCTTACCCCCATTCTCTGAGGGTTTTCAGGGAAAAAATTCTTCAGCACTCTCTCTATATATAAATACTGTATATATGATTCACATAGAGACGGTTGTTGAGGAAGATTAGTATCACTCCGGCGAGCTACTGGTTACTCGGTTTGGTACTCATCTGCTGTAATAAAGGTAAGTACAGACAGACATAGGAAACTACACCAGGCTAAGGACAGAATCAAGGCAGGAAGGAGGCGTTGTGTTGGGATGTAACTGCAGTCGTTGTTAAGTATATCAATTGCTTCATGCACGCACAGGAGAATCACCCACATTGACCCTGATGTGGAGGGTCACCCATTTCACAAGCAGTCCACTGGAAGTTGCCGTTACATTCCTTGGGTCAGTGTTAGAAAGCAGGAGCACCAGGAAAAGTCCCATTAGAAGACATGGTACTGGAAGGGCATGCACAAAGTATGACAGCAGGTGGCTGGTTCATTCGGTTTAGTCACATACCTCTTTCCCCTGCCACGATCAGCCAAGATTGAATAAAATAGTAGAAAAACAGGGAGGAAATTTAAATATGCAATCAGGCATTAGTCGGGATGGTTGGATTTATGGTGTATTATGTATTATTTAACTATACTGGCAATTTCCATTTAGTCATGGAATGGTCATTTTAGGTACTTGAGAAATTACTTTTAGGAAATGTCATTTTTCCCCTTTGTTGTAAATCTGAGTGTAGAGATAGGGGGAGAATTATGCCATTTTCAAAAAGATTATTTTAAGAGAGATGATTTTAAATCTCAATTTTGAGATGAGCATTGATATAACCATTTAACCATCATGAAATTTTGGAATCTTTTCTTGAAAGTGTTAGGTTAAGTCCTTATAGGTTTGGGATTTAGTTAGCCTTGAAATCCCTTGGTTTATAATTATTATCAAAAGGATTATTTTGATAGTGGTTTGTTAAAAAAAAGTAAGCTATATTTATTTAGATGTATGTTGGAGAATCGACAAGTTGCACAACACAGAATAATTTGCTTCTATCACTGTGTTTAACAACCCAGGCAATCTAAGATTAAAAAAAAAAAAAAAAAAAAGACGACTCTAGTACAAGCAGAGTAAGTTACAGAAATAAATTGAGAAAGAAGGTCTCTTGTTCACACACCAAATAACTACTAATAAAAACAACAGTGGTGGCAACAAAAACAATCACAAAAAACCAAAAAATATTTTGTGTTCTGGACAATGATAACCAGATGCTACTTGAATGATTAAAAAGCACTCACCTCATTTGTTTGTTGCTAGAAACATCTGAAAACTTAGGCTGAAACATACAACATGCAACCACTTTTTGGTTGTTCAAAATAACCTTCCAAAGACTTCTTGCAAAACTTCCACTTTCATTCCCTTTGCAATCCCAGTTAAAAGAAAATGGGTGTTAAGGCATCTTATTCACAATCTAGATGGGAAAATCAGCTCTGCAAGCTCAGCTAAGGTACAGTAAGATACACTTCCCACCAAGCCTGCTCACCTCTGCATGGTGCTCCTCATTTTGCTGAAGAACTTCAATGACTAGTTCAGCAAGACGTATTGTATCTTCAAGTTTTTTGGCAGGAGTGATTAATCGGCCTACATTTTCTGTAGTACAAGAGTTTGTGTTAAAATTCAGCGAAAGTGGCAGGCTAATTTTATGGCCATTAGAACTAGTGGATAAGAAATTGAGAGTAGTTATCAGTTTTTTTAAAAACAAAATTCATGCAAATGTTAAGTGCCATGTAATTAGTGAGCAAACCATAAAGCCATTTTATTATTATCACCATCATTATAATACATATTAGGAAAAAGCAGTGCTCCAGCTTCAAATTTGCATATGAAGCTATAGTAGGTCTGTGACAGCACATTTCAAATTTAGTGACATTTTGTACACATGTTCTTTAAAGACAGCATAAAGGTACTATATCACTGTCTAGATTGTATTTACGCTACCTGAAGTGGGAAGGTTAACAGGAGTTTAATATTGATTGTTGTTACATTTGTTTTTTAGATTAGTTATTAAATGCTACAGTGTAATTTTTCATTGCAGGCCCGCGTATGTTGAACGTTCATTTTGAAAATGCAGATTCAAATGTCTGCTTCAAGTTGTCCAGGGAGGAGACAGAAAAGAAAAATTGGATATGCCTGGGCCATTAGTCAGGAATAATAATTGTTAAAAGGGTGTTAGGAGTAGATTATTGAATGGGTTGTGGTAGTTTGTGCTACTGGTTGTTACAATTGAAATTTTATCAGTTAAATTGCAACAGTGTACTTAATTGTTTTCTTTGTTTTTAGTTTCTCTTAAACTGAAAGTGTTGCATTTTTACCCAGCTCAAGAAGAACCTGAACCCTGGCTTATTTTGCCCTCTTTTTAGAGCTGAGTTCATGAGTTTGACAATGTCATTATGTTCCAAAAAATTACAAACTGTTTTCCTTTGGGAAAAGAGTAATATTTAAAACATAAAGGAGGTTTTCTTTTTCTTTCTTGTGATGGAGTCTCATTCATTCTGCCTCCCAGGCTAGGGGGCAGTGGTGTGATCTCAGCTCACTGCAAATTCCGCCTCCCGGGTTCAAGTGATCCTCCTGCCTCAGCCTCCCAAGTAGCTGGGATTACAGGCACCTGCCACCATGCCTGGCTAATTTTTGTATTTTCAGTAGAGACAGAGTTTCACCTTGTTGACCAGGCTGGTAGCAAACTCCTTACCTCAGGAGATTCGCCCATCTCAGCCTTCCAAAGTGCTGGGATTACAGGCGTGAACCACCATGCCTGGCCAAAACATAAAGGTTTTCTTGGCCAATGAAACTGTTTGGATTCAACCAGTTTGAATTCCAGGGGAACTTGTATTTCATGTTTAGCCCTCTTCAAACCTTAAAGCCTCAGAGTCAGAGCACATGGGATATAGTGAAATAAACATCATTTAGTAGAATTCCCCAAGTAGGTACATGTATTTGTAAAAGAACTGGCAAAACTTATTTTCATCTTTTCATCTGAAGCAGGTATATTTTGGCTTCAGGATGTTTCTTGCTAGAAACAATTACCTATTACTAAATAGGAAGGTTTCTGGCAGGCAGCAGGGGTTGGGAGGAAGTAGGCAGACTTAAACAAAATCATAAGAGATTGCTAATTTACAAAAACAAAAGTTTCTTAATATTCTTTTATGCATTTCTTAGGTAGGTAATGAACATATCAGGTCATTAGTAATTTAGGATTTAATAATGAAAAATAAATTCAGTGAGACACTAAGCAAAAAGGGTGTTCTAGCAAATGGGATGTAAGAGTGATTAGTGGGACAGGGTAAGATTAGCCAGGTGCTGAAAGTCTCAGTCTAACAAGGCCTGATGGCTAGTGTGAAAATGGGCTTCCTGGATTCAAGTCAATAGAAAGCTCCATTATCTCTGCCACACCCAGATGGAATTGTGGCTGGATATGGTTAGAGCCTGAAGGTGGGGCTATGGGAAACATACACATGTGGATTAGGCAGAGAATAACCAACACTCAGAATAAGGAGATGTGGGAGCTTAGGTGCTGACATCCTATTGCCTGGTCTAGAGCAATACGTGTTTAGAGAAAGAGTGTATGACAAGATTGACTTCTGTGCTTTTGGGGGCATCTGACCTGTTAGCAATTTGATAAATAGACTATCATAATTTCATTCGTAGACTTTCAGGCATTTCTAGAAACATACTGTGTATATATTTTTGGGTAATATGTGTAGAGTGAGGTATTTGCATTTTGATAGTAAATATGCACAGGCTACTATTTTTTATTAGTTGATATTCACATTTACACATCAATTTGCAAATTCCTCATCCTATGCTTATTACCCATTCGACACATACACCCACATACACACATCACACACTTACATACATTTTCTAGTAACAGACAAGCCTGCACATTAATACAAATCTGCAGGAAATCCCACCTGGGGCACATCTTTGAAATCTCTTGCTTTAAAAATAGAGAGCTTTGTCCTTTTGGGTGAAACACTCACCAAATCTAGGGGAATTCTGGCTGTTTATGACATATGATACATAAATAATTCCTACCGATATTTTTATGCACTTAAAAAAAAGTCAATAATTTTTATGTTTGGAGAAATCCAAGATGTTGCAGTTAGGACCACCTGAAGATTTGTTTTAATAGGCAGTACTCTTAGATTGACTACAATAGATATCAATAGATACACATAAATTGTGCATGTGCATGCAGCCATTCTATGAGTGTTTGCACATGTACACAGATATGTGTATGCCTGATGTATATATACAGACAGTATGTTTAATAAAACCCTTTGCAATTTTACTTGAACATAAAACCATTAAAGTGAGCAGGTTAAGGATTCTTTAATCTACAACACTTGATCTGCCAATTAACCCATGTAGCCAGTCTTTCATTTACTATTAATTAGCCTTGATTCCATCATCTGTAGATCGAGCCACATTAGTGAGACACTGCACTATTTTCCTGTTTGTTTGCATAGCTGCTGTACTACTAGCTAAATGGCAAAATGGAACTACTAAGATGTTGTCTTTAAAGAAAACATTGTGCAAAATCCTTTAGCACTTCTTCCCTCTCCCCAACAGAAGTCAAGGAGAAATTTGTGCTTAGAAATGACTTTTTTTTTTTTTTTTGGCCACTTCTGCTGTCTTCAAATGAATTACAATATTCCTATCCCCCAAGCTTGCACTAGCTGGAGCACTGATAAAATGGAACTAAAAATATAGTATACTTAAGAACCATTTCATACAAGAGAATTAAGCTCATAACACATAAAAAATTGTCATGCAAAATGTTATGCAACAACAATGTTATTTTGTGCTGACATTGAGATTTGAAAATGTTGCATATGTCAGACATAGCTAGACAAAAAAAAAAAAAAATGTGGACATTTGGAAATAAATGCTCTCTTTTGAGTATCTCAAAACCTCTAAAATTATACTTGAGAGCCCGAGTCTCAGCTTGGTGTTCCAAACTGAAACAAAATTTCAAGAAGAAAGGTGAACAGAAAAGCAAACTAAACTAGAAAGCTGCCAAGTAGAGGAATGATGAAAGTTTACAGTACTTGATTTTGGCCTAGGCATGCCTTTGAGCCTCTGATATAACATGCTGGTCTGCGTTTGGGTGGGTGGAGGAGGAGGCCCAGGAGGTGGCAGGGGAGCTGCTTGGGTAGGTGAAGAGAGACAGTAAAAAAGTAAAGACAAAGTGACTTTAACACAGGGTGACAAGTAAGATGACAAACTCTGAAAAGAACAACCAAATAAGCAAAAATGATAAAACACAAATGGAGAGCTGCTGCTTTCTTGGCGATACTTCAACACTACAGAGGTGTGACATTGTTTGACAAGGACTCTTACCAGTGTCACCAGCAACCCCCACCCACCACCACCACCGAGACACTCAGAGGCTGAATGCAAATACCAGATGCTTTATCCAGATGGATACACATGAATGATGGCAGCAGCAGCACTGACCAAAAAAAGATACACTTCGTACAATGAAGAACACCTATACGTTAATAGCTGCTTCTTCCTTACAGATGACCAGAAATAGGACTTGATATATTAATAGTTGGAAGATCTGGCTTGTCATCCCCCATATGTTACTTACTTTCTACATAACCTTGCATCTGCTACTTGAACCTCTCTGTGCTTTAGTTTCCTCATCTATAAATTGAGAGTATCTTTTCTGTATATCTTACAGGGTTGCTGATAAGAGCAAATAAAGCAATCTATGGGACAGATCTCTGTAAAGCTCGAGATGCCTACACATGTTTATTGTTACCTCCACATTGTGAGAAGGCTGCAATTAATTGCTTTGCAAAAGCAGATGAAGGGCCGTTATTAGTTCAAGTGAGCTAGGAAATATTCTTGCTCCCTTTGTGGAATTTCAACATGTCAAAATCTGTCATTTTGGGGGAAAATGTGTGGTATCTGATTGTTTCCAGCTCATTTAATTATTTTCAATTTGGAATTCTCGTGGCTTTTATATTGTGGGTTGAATCATATATAAAAACTTGCCAGCTTATCAAATATGTTACTTGCTATTCCAAATGTTAGAATACTGTAATCAGCACTTGACCCATCTGTCATGTGGTTTACAATATCAGCACAGCAAACATCTTATAACAATAGCCTCTCCTTCAATACAGGCACAGAGCACTATCAGCTTCTGCAATTCTCTCTCTTTAATGAGTGTCTCATTAACCTTGGACTTGCTCCTTTCTAATAGTTCTGGTTTATAAAGCAATCTGTATGGTGAGAGGGACATACTCCATTGCCAAGTTTGCTTTTTGGTTTGCTTGAATTTTCAACTGGGAAAATGAATTTTACTGCAGGCATATAGGAAATGGAATTCTAGTGACATTAATAAAAAAAGATGGAGAAATATGGATAAAATATAATATTCTAGTAAAAATCATCATTAAAAACAAGAGTTGGTGAGATCCTTTTCTTGCTGGACCATTTTAATGTTTAGAATACAGGACAAAAAAATTACCAGTTTCCTCTTATTCAAATTGTTTGGGAAAAAATGTGTGCAAATAGAATTTGGAAGACTCAGTTTTAAATGATAATCATTTAAAAGGAAGCAACTACTAATCCTT